GAGTACTCAGTGCCAATTCTGATGCTAACTGTAATTCTGCAGGAATGAAAAAGAAACTGGCACTCATGTGCTGCTGTGCTATCAGTTTAGTTGGAGAGTTTGGTCCAATATTATTAGGTGGTGGGGTGTATCTTGGGTGCAGCCAGGGTCAGTGTCTGGACTTCTTCAGTGATGGACTGGTTATAGATGCAAAAACAGACTGAAGGTACTCTGGAGGATAATCCCACTGCAGTGCTTTGGTCTGTATGGAAGCAGAGGAATGAAAACATTTTTAATGACTCACAGGTGGACTTGGAAAAGTTGTGTGAACTTATCAAAACACTGATTGCATTGTGGTTCAGAGCTTATAGTTCTTCTTTTTGTTATTCAGTTAATGATTTAGTGTTTAATTTGCAAAATGTGAAATTCTGCATCATGCACTGATGGGGTATAACCTGTGATGATGGGGTTTGTTGCTGCTAATGTGATGTTGTTGTTCTGCCTCTCTGGTTTATATTGTTGTTTTGTTCTGGTGCATCATGATCTGTTGGGGTATAACTTGTGAACACACTCTATTGCTAATGCTGTTGCACTGATGGGGTTTGTTGGAGCCTCTCTTGCTGTTGCTGCACTGTTGGGGTTTGCTGCTCTGGTTAATATTGTTGTTTTGTTCTAGTCTATTTTTCTCTGTTCTGTTGCTCCTTCTGGTTTTGTTTTCTTTGTTGGTTTCTCACCAACTAGGAGGTTGGAGCTTTGTTTAGCTCCAAGCTCCTCTTTATTGATGTATCTTTTCATACTTTGTATGGTTTTAACATCAATAAAGTCTTTCATTTTGCCGATCAAAAAGGATCATTCATATTCATATTTTCTAAGATCCTATTTATAGATCATTCATAAAACAAATCAAATTGATTACATAATTATTCTCATTTAATTTCATCACATTTATTTTGAAAAGAAAAAACAATAGTGTACTTTAATTAATTTTTTTTTCCCTTCTCATAATGAATAACAATACAACATTATTAAACTTAAATATTCACAGTTCATTTGGATAAATGTAAATTTTAAATTAAGAGATTTTTTTATTTATTTTTTTTATGTTTTTTTATGACCGAAGATGTGGTGGTTGTTCATAATTTATAGTGGTCATCATTTTAGTTATGGTTGAAAATAATTTGATTATGACATTTTATAATATCAATATTACAATGTCATAATTTGTATATGGTACATCCTTTTGTAGTGTGTATAATAGAAGGATTTATTTTAGGAGGATCCTTATGATTAGAAGAAAATTCTTGAATGGGGACACTAATACAATTTTAAAAGGGATGCTATTGTAATATTATAGTGCGCGCGCGCGCACACACACACACACACATATATATATATATATATATATAAAGGTATTGATATAATTATTAAAACTTTAAGGGCAATGTAAAGAGGTTAACTGAATGAGTTCCATATTTATAAAACAATGATCTTAACATAAACAAAACATTTTTTGGATACATATAATAATATATAAAGTTCATCAAACCTTTTTCAACCTTTCATAGTAAAACACATGACGTGGTACATTTCCAAAAGCATTATTAACACTTAACGAAACAATCTTATCGAATTAAAACCATATAGAACATGCTCAAGCATGTAGGATTACAGTTACACAGTTGCACTTAATATAGAGCTCTCAAATAACAAAGAAATATTTATCATATAATTATGGTTCACATAGTCTAGTCAACTTTAAACATATAATTTTCGAGTGAAGGTATATATATAGGTCCAAAATCAATTAACACATAGGCATTTGTTCACAAATAGTAAAGGTACATGAGGTAACGGTCTTAGTGTTCTAAGTGTCTCTTGGGACGAGTGCAAATACTCTTCCTTGGCTAACATTTTCTCTTATAGTAGTAGGTCTCGTCATTGATATTGAACTAGCTGAGCTAACAACAGGTCAACTAACATTTGTTCAGTTTGAGGATAGTGTTTTACCTTATGCCCCATCTTACTACGTCTATAACAAGCCCCAGAAGTTCGGTAACAAATTCCTCGATGCTTTTTCCCACATTCTGAACAAGTTGGTGTTGAACTGTTTCTTTAAGCGAGATCACTTTGTCTAGATATTTCCAAGCTTTGTTTCTTATTCATCGAAAACTTGTTATTCACATAAGAGTTCGTCTCTTTCATTTCCATTCAGAAGATCGGTTTATGTTAGATTCAAGCATCAATGCTTGGTCCAAAACATCAACATATTAGGATAACTTCAACATGTTAACTCTCTCTTAGATTAAGTCTTAGAGTCCTCCTACAATTTTTCTTGCTTTCTTATAGTCTATGTCAACCATATATGGTGCAAGTCTTGCTATTTCGATAAATTGAGATTCACATTCTGCCATTGTTCGGTTACCTTCCTTTAGCCTTTCAAATTCAAAAACCTTTCAATCTCGGACACATTGGATAGTACTTTTCATAGAAAATTTCCAAAAATCGAGCCCAATTAATATTTTTGTTTTCATCTCAGGTTAACATCCACCCTCTTCTTGTTTCATCTTCTAAAGTGAAGGCGGCTAGCAAAACTTCCTATGCATCAGTACACGAGAAAACGTCAAATAATTTTTCAATTCCGAGAACCCATTCCTTGGCTTTCAAAGGATCAACTCCTCCATAGAAAAGTGGTGGTTTCATTTTCTTCAACTCTTTTATCAAAGCAATAGTTCGGTCATCTACTTGATGTTCTTGCATAGGTGGTGGTGGAGGTTCTTGTCGCAATGGTTGTTTTTGTTTAGGATGGCATCAAGGAATTACCCAAATGCCCCAAAAAAATCTCGTGGCCAATCCTTAGTTTCGCCGCGACAAGCTTCCAAAGCTGCTGACCTACTAGCGACAGAAGCTTCGGGTGCACAATACAAATAGATTTTACTAATACACCTATTGTTCGTTAACTATTTCATGCTACGATCAGGCTGCCTCCTGCAACAATTTGCACTTGGAGAATCAAAGGGCGCTAATCTTGGTTGAAGAGTTATTTTGCCAAGATCATTCATAGGTGGTCCTAGAGATCTTCGCAAGCGGTACATTGATGCTATGACATTAGTGCAGTGGTTTGGAAAGCCAGATATATTCTTAACCATGACTTGTAATCCAAATTGGTCTGAAATAAAAAAAGAATTGCAACCAAATGAAAAAGCTCAAAATAGACTAGATCTTTTGACTCGTATCTTTATGAGCAAATTTGACCATTTGAAAAAGGAAGTGATTCAAAAAAAACTCTTTGGTCCTGTTGCAGCATTTACATATGTTGTTGAATTCCAAAAAAAAGAGATTTACCTCATATTCACTTGCTTCTAATTTTGCAAAATAGACAAACTAAAGTCCCTTGAAAGTTTTGATTCATTTATATCTGCGAAGTTGCCAGACCCTATCAAATATCCCCATTTGCATTCAATGGTAGTGAAACACATAATGCACGAACATTGTGGTTTTTTAAATAAAACTAACGTTTGTATGAAAAATGGGTCCTGCAAAAATCACTATCCAAAGGGCTTCACTCCTACAACAACCATAGTAACAGACAAATATTTGATCTATAGGCGTCGCAACAATGGCGAAGAGATAAAAGTTCGAGGTCATTTGTTAGATAATGCATGGGTTGTGCCTTATAACCCATATCTTCTTGCCAAGTTTGATTGTCACATTAATGTTGAGATTTGTTCTACTATTAAGGCCATTAAGTACTTATACGCATATATTTACAAAGGCCATGACAAATTAGCATTCAATGTACCTGAAGAACATGCTAATGAAGAAATTGATGAAACAGCTCAATACCAATTGGCAAGATGGATATCACCTCCTGAAGCAATGTGGCAAATATATAGATTTTTTTTTAATGAAACTCACCCCACTGTGATAAACTTGCAATTGCACCTAGATGATTGTCAAATGGTTAGCTTCACAAACACTTCAAGTTTGAAATCCTTAGTAAACTCTGACAGAGTTCTTTGTAGTGAATAGAACAAACAACAAAGCCAAAGATGGGCAGTTTTTTATAGGGAATTTCCTGAAACATTTGTGTGGGTTCCAACCGACAGATTCTGGTATAAAAGAAAACAACAAACCATTATAGGAAGAACTGTGATCACAAATCCAACTGAAGGAGAACGCTATTATTTACGCTTGTTGTTAAACCCCGTAAGAGGTCCAACATCATTTCAAAACTTGAAAACAGTCAACAGAATAGTATGTGAATCATTTAGACAGGCTGCTCTTGAACGTGGTTTACTCGAAGATGATGACAATCAACAAAAATGCCTAGATGAAGCTACAAACTTCCAGATGCCTTCTTCACTAAGACAACTTTTTGCTACTATTCTTGCCTATTGCAATCCCAATGATCCAAAAGCACTATTCTGAAAATTTGAAAAAGCTATGGCAGAACAAGCGATGTCACTTTCAAATAACAAGCGCTGTACAAAGTGCTACAACATATCAATTCCACTCTTGAATCTATGGTGAGAAACATCCAACAATTTCATTTGTCTGATTTAGTTCTTCTAATAAATGAAAGAGATGTTACTTGCAAAGAAATTGAGGATGAGAAAAATAGTGGTATCTAGAGAAGATCCATCATGTGTATGGATGTTGAATGCAGAACAGCAGCATGCATATTGTAGAATTATACAAGCTGTGCAATTAGACAAACCAGCATATTTTTTTATAGATGGACCCGGTGGCTGTGGGAAAACATTTCTTTACCGTGCACTATTAGCTACGGTCAGAACACAACAAAAAATTGCTCTCGCCATTAGAAGAAAAATTCATTGTCGCGGCGCTTAGAAAAAGACGTTTTTTGAAAACGTCTTTATTTCCCGTTTTCCAAGACGCGTGCCTTCGCTGATGCTTAACCTTACCAATTAATTAATGAGTTAAAAAAAAAAAGAAGAAACAAGCCTGTACCACTCAAACCTAGTAGAATATCACTTTTTTTTCCAAACATCACAGTCACAGATTCATTACCCTCTCCCCTCTCTTTCTCCTTCTCCAACATTATTCTCTCTCTAAAATGGCACGAATGAAGCCCTCTTTGTAGATATTGATGAAGCAACTGATGATGAAGATTTCAAGTAAGTCTATTGTAGATCAAAACCTTAGATCTTTTATCTCAATCGTTTTTCATTATTTTTTTATTTTGAAATCTTGTTTTGTGCACTAGATTTGACTAATTTTTTTCGAGATTATTCGATCTCTCTTCGATATTGCTCGATCTCCCTTGATTGGACCAATTTTCTTCAAGATTGTTCGATCTCCCTTGATTTTCATTTATCTAGGGTTTCGTTCTACACGACACTTAAAAAATGCAGTGGATCTTTTTGAAAGGGCTTTTCAATCTGTACTCGCTGTGTTCACTCGAGATTCAGAGATTTTTACGACTGCACAGGAGCAATCTAGATCTATTTTGATTTACATTCTATTAGTTTGATTTCATTCGATTGACTGAAACGGTTGCTTAGGATTTCGATTTCCATTGTTGATCTAGGTGCTCTTCTCTTTTATTGGTCTGACTCAAGCTTGTTTTGGATGATTTTGATTTCGATCTATGTTTTTGTTTTTCTTAGGTATCGGATCTATAGCTCTTTTATTTGTTTTAGTTCTCTCAGGTTGTCAGCTTCAATGGTTTTGATCTGTAACTGTATTTTATTTAAATAGTTTTATTGTTTGTTCTACAAATAGGTAGCTAAGAAGATTTTTGTATTTTCTCTCACTCTCTGTGTTTCCTCTTTAAATAGGTAGCTAAGAAGATTTACTTAAATATTTTTATTGTTTGTTCTTCAATGACGATCATTGTCATATGTATATGATCCAAATTTTCTTGTAAAAAAATAAATTTAAGTAAACAAGAACTATAATATCAAGGTCATTAGATATTTGGGTTGCACTCTAACAGTGCTTTGAGGTGTGGTTCCCTTATTTTTCATGTTCTGAAATCCTTTCAGCTTTCTAATTATTATTTTTCTTTATAAAAAAAGGATCTATTTATGAGTTTGTTTGCTGAAGGAAATTTTTGGCACATCCAGCTTGTTCATTAAAGAAAACAATCATGAGCTGCTTCAGCTGTTGCATGGAAGATGATATGCACAAGGCTGCTGATAATGGACCATTCATGACAAATACAACAGGTAAATTGTCTGTGCTCAGGTTGTAGTATTTAGAAAACTTCCAATTTCTTCTCTTTCATTATTTGAAATGGTAATGAAGGCTTTTCATCTTTGTTGGATTAATGTGGTGAAGGGCATATAAATTTATTTGTTCGCGCTGAATTTCAAAGTTTGTATTCCATGCTTCAATCATGAAATCAGACAGATTAACACATCTTCCATTTCATTTGTGTTTCCCGGCCTTGGCATAGACCCTAACATTTTCAGGGTGATATCTCATGTTGGCCAGTTTGTACATTTATCTTTGCTTGGTTTACTTGTGTGCTTAGTTTCCTTGCTCACTTTTTATTCAGTTGCTTGGATCTATCTTGTGCGATTGCAAGTCTTACATGTTAGCATCATGCGCTTTCGTTTTATACTTTCTAAGGCTTCTGATTTCTTCCAAACTGACATGACGAAAATTTATCATTAGGCAACAATGGAGGCTATCATGTTGCTGAAGCTGCACCGAAGGACACAAAAACTGTCGATGTTCAGCCTATTACTGTCCCCTCCATCCCAGTGGATGAATTGAAGGAAATAACAGACAACTTTGGTACAAAATTTTTATCAGTTTCTTTATGACTTAACAGGTTTCAATGGTATCAAGACTGAAACATGAAAATGTTGTTGAGCTTCTTGGTTATTTTGTTGATGGCGGTCTCCGAGTCCTTGCATATGAGTATGCTTCGAATGGATCTCTTCATGATATTCTCCATGGTAAGTAATGTCAATTTTTTCCTTTTCTAAGTGGACTCTTATTCCTGGACAACACCACTACCTCATGGAGAAGGGTTAAATTATTTTTGAAGTGTCTACTCTTAAGTGACTGTTAAATTAATTTTTGGTCTTTTTAAGTTTGAAGGTTTGTTACTTTTCCAATCAGTATATTTGAGGCCTTTTTATGGTTAGTTCTTGCAAGCTTAAAGAATGGTTGACTGCAGCCTCTTGCTAGAAAATGAATTCGAGAAAGGATGTATTGCTCTGTTCTTACAAAGATACATGATGCTGTCATTTAGAACTGTTCAAGTACTGCCTCAGAGCAACTAAAATCTCCAGAGAGTAATACGTAGAAGTCACTTCCCTTTCATGGATCTAGCCCCCTTAAGCCAATAGTGCCCATGTATTTAAGTGTATTTCTATTTTAACTTGATAATTTTTTTAATCCTTTAGTGGCAATAGAACATGACTTCAGAACTAAAAAATGTGTCCTATAGGTTCAGCACCATCTAATAAGCTTTGTCACATAAAATACAAGCTCACAAAAGTATAATTGAAAAGCATTCATGTGTCCGGCCTCATTTTATTGGGACACAAGACACAGTTTGGTTTGTTTTGGCTTTGAAATATTGCTTGTTTACTGAATTGTCATAGTATCTGATAGGGAAGTATGTCATAGGCATCCTTTGATAGTTCAGACCCTGGAATCCCTTATTCAAAAATGTAGCAATCATTCAGTTATTGAACCTGGGGATGGGGCTGAAGGGTAAAAGAACCAAATAGTAGATGAATCCACTGATTGTCCCCTCCCCAAAACACCAATTACAGGTGTTTGACAATCTTTTTGGTCTGCCCTGTCTGTTAAGTTAATTTTTGTCAGTGTCATTCTTGCATGTTTTGTCTTTCCATATGCCTCCTAAGAGACTTTTCTACTTCAGCAGCGCTTTAGGTAAGTTGTCCTTATATGCAGAATTCAATGTGTCATCTTTTCTACTTCAGGACTTTGCAATTATTTACAATGGATTCTTATTTTAGGGAATTGACATTAAAGAAATGCTTGCTAGTGCATCATTGATGGATGAGGCAAATAGGACCACCGTGGTAAAGATTTATTATTCATTCTCTTATTATTATTACCATTATTTTTAATTCATTGTTGTCTTCTGATAGTAGTTTTGTTACTTGAGTAGCCAAACTATTCTTGTCTTCTCAAGCAACTGAATAATGGACTTTGTACAATTGTGAGAAATGCATTTTCATCTTCTTCACTTTCTTCATCTTCTCATTCTTCTCCTCCATGTTTCTTTTTTCTAGCCTTGCAAAGGATGGTCCATCTCTTTCTAGCTATACAAAGGTATTATTACATGTTGAGGTGTGTGTCTCCCACAATAGTTGTGTACCTTTTGTGTGGTCTATTGAACTTAAATATTATATACAAAAAAATAGGCCAGGATTTGGTGTATTTGCAAAGGTTATTTTTCTTGCATAGTCAATGAAATGGGAGTAGGTGGAGATGTTCATTGGTGTAAACTAATCATGAGGGCGAAATTAAAGTTAAAAATTGGTTGGTTCTGTTTTAAAAAATGATTAATCAAATCAGTTTGGATTTACTTATTCATTATGAGAAAGCTGTTCGATTAGACCATTATCAAAATTGCACAACCCACACAAATCTTTCACTAAACTGCGAGTTTTGTTTTTCTCTTTTATCAGTTTTCCTCCAGATGTCCTGAAATTCAGTTGTTTCCAAGCAGTACATCTTGGCAAGGCTCTGTTTCGGTTTAGCTTTGTGCAATACATGTCATCAATTGGAATGTTGGTTATTTTGCTTTAATTTCTAAGGAGTATCTCATCCTCCTTCTTGATGACTTATAGACCTGTAGCCACCAGCTATTATCTTGGTGTTATCTCCTGCCAATCCAGTGGGGGAGAAGTGGGAGGTTCAAATCCCAATTTTGGCTAAGGGGATACATTTTGAATTCTTACTTCTCAAGTGGACACACACACACACGCAATACTTGATGTGAAATTGCTTAATTGAATGTGAAATGATTATTTATTTCACTGCTCGTGCTTGTAAGTAGGAAAAGAAGTTATGATAACAGAATATCAAAGTTTCCTTTTTTATTTATATTTATTTATTTATTTTTAGGTGAGGGATAACCCAGCAACATTGTTGGCTTTAAGCTGGTATTGGGCTTCTAGTGGAGTAGGATCCAAGGTTTTGCTTCACTCTGTCTTTCTCTCAGCCTCATTTCTACCTATGTTATGTTTCAGTTTCACTCATAAATATTTATGCTTTGGCTTCTTTGTTTTTCCACAGGATATGGTTGTTCTTCCTTACAAGGATTGCCTATTATTATTTAGTAGGTATTTACGATAGTTGGTCATGGAGTCACTTGGGAAGGAGTTTGACTTAGATGGTAATCGGGTATGTCCAACCATCTCTGCCAACTCGTCTAGTTTGAACACGGAACAAATTTGATGTCCAAAAATATCATTATCAATTTAATTGTCGTTAGTATTGTTTACCATTGAAGCATTTTGAATTTGAGACTAAGGCTACTTATTTCAAATGGCCATATATTTTTGTCACATTATAGAGTGTCAACTTGACAGTGGTTCAGGAGGAAACAGCTGAATGGAGTAGGAATTTTCTGAGGAAATATTCCTTTTATCTTTCTTTGGAGGCAATTTTTAAATATTTTGGTTTTTAGGAAGGACTCTTATAACATGTTAGCATTGTTGCATCTAGTTAGGCAGATGGCATGTAAATTGTAATAACAAATTTTCTAGCAACTTTGTGCTTCATGTCTTTTTCATTTAAAAAGCGATTTTCTTCAATTTCACCCTCACTAGAAACCAAAATTTGATGATGTAGTATCTATTAGAAATCTTGTTTCTTATTCTCATATTCTATTTCCCACCCATCAACAAGGAATTGGAAATATTGGATTTTGATTTCCTAATTGTTAAAATGGCAATTGATCTTGGATTTCCAATGTGTGGACATTTTGATGCAGATGGATGGTGCACCTTTATCCATTAAGTGAGTTCTATCCCTGTCCACAATAGACAAGATACATCTCCTATTAGATACGCCTTTATTTTACGTCAATGCTCAATAGCCCCTTTGCTAATCATGCTAGAATAAAATTGAGGTTGTTATTCTTTGGAATTTGAAGTTATCAACTAGCTATTTAAGATTCAACAGTTAATTGAGCATGATATTTAAAATACCATGTCTAGCCTAGGCAAGGGCATGTTGGTTGCCCAAGGCCTTGCTTTTACTAAACCACAAATTCAATATAACCAAAACACAAACCACAAATTCAATCTAACCAAAACACTTCTGTATACATATATAGATGTCGTTTACATTGGTCGTGTAATTCTTGGTTTAGATTATCACGTACAATGGTTCATAGGTTTAGGATTTTTGTAGAGTGTTGATGGATTTGGTTTGTTTTTAGCTTCTTTGCTCTTCTTTAGTGGTCTAACCATTTTTCGTTTTGGCATATTTGTATTGTTTCTCTTTTGATTGATGAAGAATTTGTTTTCCAGTTTTCTATTTATTAATGCCAATGATGCAAAGTGTACCTGCTGACTTTTATCTTTGTTTCTTTGTTTTCAGCTATGGAGGAGTGCTTATAGAACTCCCAAGCAACCTAGATCTTTTGGATGATATTTCCTTTGTGAAGTTGGGCCTGTTGGATGATATTTCCTTTGTGAACTCCCAAGCATTTCATCATTTTTATTTGCTTATTATTGTGCTAACCAAGATTGTAGAAAATTGATGTGAAACTTCTGTTGAAATCATATTTTTTTGCTTGTCTTTTTGAATTTGTGTTTGATAGGTTTGCAATATGTGATAAAATATTTTTTCCTTTGGTTGTGTTTATTGCTTGATTTTGGTTGAGAATAATTATGTAAAGTTTGACTAAATTTACTCAATATATTAAAATAGTAACAGACTTTTTTATCCATATTATTCCTATTTTTTAGCTTTACAGGTATTTTTTTGGGTTAAATCTCAAAGAATTAGCACAATTTAAAAAATAAAAAAATGAAACTATAACGGCGTTTTCAAATGCCACTATAGTATAGTGCTAACGGTTTTATTTTTAAAATAGAAAAGAGGTATCACGACGTTTTTAAAATGTTGCTAAATATGGCATGACGTCATTGTACCATTATGTAGTACATTTAGCGGCGTTTTCAAAAGCGGCGTTTTCAAAAACGCTATCTATACTAATATAGCGACGCTTTAAAAACGTCATAAAGCTACAGCGACGGCCGCATCTTCGGCGTTTGGTAGAAAACGTCCCAAAAAGAATTAGCGGGGTTTTTGATAGATATAGCGGCGTTTTTTAAACGCCACTAAAAGTCTAATTTCCAGCAGTGCGCAACAGCAACTTCTGGCGTTGCAGCCTCGATTTTGCCAAATGATCACACCCCCCATTCTCGATTCAAAATCCCATAGCTATTAATGGTACAAACTGTTGTAATGTTAGCAAACAAAGTGGTCTTGGAAAACTTCTAAAAGCTGCTTCGCTTATAATATGTGATGAATCATCTATGGCAAGACGAGAGGCCATTGAGGCTATTGATGGACTTCTAAGAGACATAATAGATTCAAATCTTCTCTTTGGCGGCAAAGTTATGGTTTTAGGCGGTGATTTTCGGCAAGTTTTACCTGTTGTTCCCAGAGCTACGAGAAGCAAATGCATAAATGCAAGCCTTGTCAAATCGAAAATTTGGCATTCATTACAAAAGATCATGCTTCAAGAGAACATGCGTGCTAGACATGATCCAATCTTCAGTTCTTTCTTGCTTCGCATTGGAAATGGATCAAAAGCTCAAAATTCTGATGGCAAAATCACATTTCCGTCATCTGTGATTCTTCTTTCTATTCAAACTGTGGATCCTCTTGAACAACTAATTGACTTTGTTTTTCCACATCTTCACAAGTATTCAATTGATGCCCTATCAATGATGGATTGTGTAACGCCCTCAAAATAATAACATTAAACCCATCAAACGGGACATGCGTTGACGTATAAACAAACCACCTTCTATTATTCATTAGCGTCTCATTACATAAGTATTACATGTTAACATCATACAAAATGCCCTACGGGCTTACAGCTTTCCAAGTTAACACTTGGTTACAACAAAGAGTACTAACTCGATACACATTAAGCCCTTGGCTTGAAGTTACATGTAATACATCAAAAGTAAAACAACAAAACATGTCCGCCTCTAGCCTCCCAGCTATGTCCTTGGAGGTGGCATGCTTCCTGTACCTGAAAATGATATTCCCATATAGGGTGAGCCACAGCCCAGTAGAAATACACTAAACCAACCATGAACAATGACTAAAACATTAGCAATTGATAGTCGGTCTACACTGATACAATCACATAAATTACATATTTATGTCAACGACTTACAAGTCCCAATTACTTTTCATTTTCCCTTTAACAACAGATAAGCATACTAGCTCTATCATCATTTCCACAGACATGTATAAAAACTATATCTCACATTCAGATAAGCATAAAAACTATATCCACATTCCCAACAGATATGTATAACAACAATATCCACAGATAAGCATACAAGCTGTATCCACACTCTACAACAGATATCATATGAGCTCTATCTTCACTTCTCTAGACAAGCATATGAGCTCTGTCTACGGAGTACATCCCCTATCTCCTCCAAATACCTATCCGGTTTAGAGGTACATCCCCTATCTTCCCCTAAACCACGGAGTACATCCCCTATCTCCTCCAAATACCTATCCGGTTTAGAGGTACATCCCCTATCTTCCCCTAAACCACGGAGTACATCCCCTATCTCCTCCAAATACCTATCCGGTTTAGAGGTACATCCCCTATCTTCCCCTAAACCACGGAGTACATCCCCTATCTCCTCCAAATACCTATCCGGTTTAGAGGTACATCCCCTATCTTCCCCTAAACCACGGAGTACATCCCCTATCTCCTCCAAATACCTATCCGGTTTAGAGGTACATCCCCTATCTTCCCCTAAACCACGGAGTACATCCCCTATCTCCTCCAAATACCTATCCGGTTTAGAGGTACATCCCCTATCTTCCCCTAAACCACGGAGTACATCCCCTATCTCCTCCAAATACCTATCCGGTTTAGAGGTACATCCCCTATCTTCCCCTAAACCACGGAGTACATCCCCTATCTCCTCCAAATACCTATCCGGTTTAGAGGTACATCCCCTATCTTCCCCTAAACCACGGAGTACATCCCCTATCTCCTCCAAATACCTATCCGGTTTAGAGGTACATCCCCTATCTTCCCCTAAACCACGGAGTACATCCCCTATCTCCTCCAAATACCTATCCGGTTTAGAGGTACATCCCCTATCTTCCCCTAAACCACGGAGTACATCCCCTATCTCCTCCAAATACCTATCCGGTTTAGAGGTACATCCCCTATCTTCCCCTAAACCACGGAGTACATCCCCTATCTCCTCCAAATACCTATCCGGTTTAGAGGTACATCCCCTATCTTCCCCTAAACCACGGAGTACATCCCCTATCTCCTCCAAATACCTATCCGGTTTAGAGGTACATCCCCTATCTTCCCCTAAACCACGGAGTACATCCCCTATCTCCTCCAAATACCTATCCGGTTTAGAGGTACATCCCCTATCTTCCCCTAAACCGCGGAGTACATCCCCTATCTCCTCCTCTACACACAACATATATAAACACATTGGTTCTACATACAATCACACAATA